GGGAGTGGAAGTGAGGAACGGGGATGCTTGTGATCAAGATGGGTGAGCAGCCTCCTGAGGGCCAGGGGAGGGAGATATGGGGCACGAGAGGGCCGTGAGAAGGGAGAAAGGCTGCATCTCTGGGAATTGTGTACAGGTGTAGTAGGGTGGACCACCAGCAGCTGCCAGTGGCCTAAGCTTTATTTATTGCGGATAAAGAAGGGAAACTCTGACTCTTCACCTGTGCTGGAGATCCCCACCCGTTGATCTACTCTTTCTTTGTGGGCCACCTATTATGTAAGGCCTATGCATGCAGATGGAGTTTGGCCACGGACAGTCATTTGCTGCCCAAGCACTTGCACCTTGACCCCCACTCCACTGCAATTCTAATTACCTTTGTATCTGCAGCCCTGATGTCTGTCCTGTTTCCAGCACGCACACAGACACAACCGCTGCATCCCTCAGCAATTAATCCTCCATACCCAACAGTAACGCCCTGTCTGACCAAACCTTGGGAAACATGGTTCAGTTCTGGGCGGCACCCACCAAACCCGATCGCTCCCTCCCTGTCTGTGACCGGGTTGGTCGAATCACTGATGATTTGAGGCCAGAACTGTGTCTGGGCCAGACGTGACTGCAGTTACACAAAATGCAGGAGCAGGGGTCTTCGTAAAAGAGTCCTTTCACACCTCATGCTCGGGCTCTGCGTCGGTTTTTTTCTTAGTGTCGTTTCTGCATTTCATGCTGGGAATGAACTACTGCTCGCGCCACATTTAAGCCATAGGTTGTTCCCACACTCCCATGGATTAACATCTAAAAGACTAAAACCTTATCAAGCAGCAATAGGCTGTTAGCCTGTTACCTAATCAATCAGCAATACACTGTTACATCAAGCAGCAATAGGTTCTTACCACTGGAATAGGCTGTTTCCTAATCAAGCAGCAATAGGCTGTTACCTCAAGCAGCAATAGGTTCTTACCACTGGAAGAGGCTGTTACCTAATCAAGAAGCAATAGGCTGTTACCTAAAGCAGCAATAGGTTCTTACCACTGGAATAACATGGCAAACCTCGTTGAGCAATAGGCTGTTCCCATGATCCCATGGACTGACATGCCAAACCTTTTCGCTATATACGTTGTTTCGATCTCTGACTGTGTTCTTTGCATTGGATTGCTGTGTGTTCTCCCTTTCACTTTCACTTTTGAAAATTTGCGTTTTGCAGGCTCGTATCCATCCAGAGCAGGTGGCAAGCTCTTTAACGCGAGAGCAGTGTGATGCGCTGCACCGCAGTTTGCAAACGGTAATTTGTACTAATTTCTGACTCCATGGGCTCCAGTGGGTGGGTTCCACTGTAAGTCCCAGGCACCCACTCACTGAGTCGAACCCACCCATTCCCGCCTGTCTTTCAATCAACGACCTGTGCAATCAGGGTTGCATGCCTCCCGACCGCCGACCCCAACCGCCGACCGTATTGCAGCCAACCAGTAGGGCCGACCGGTCGGCGGTCTGCCGACCAGTCAGAAAACAACCGTCCACTGTATTTTTTTCAAATCTGAGTCGGGGGCTGTACTGCGCTTGCAGAGTACAGCCCAAATCCACTGAGAAACTTTTGGGGATGGGGGGGTTGGAGTCGGGTAAAGGGGGGGTATACGGGGAGTATAGGGGGGTATAGGAGGGTATAGAGGTGGTATAGGGGGTATTGGGAGGGGTAATGAGGGTGTTGGGGG